GCAAAGACATGCCAATCTCAATTACCTCTTCTTTTGTAAGGAAGCTCCGTTCCTTCTTCTTAGCTTCTATCTGCAGTGAAATCTCAAAAGTAAACAGTCGAATCGGTAACTGAATGGTCATGGCAACTCCAAAATTTGAAATCGTAGTACAAAGGTCTACACTAGCCTTTTCTCTTTCTTCAGAGTCAGCAGGGAGCATGGTATTAACTGGAAATATAATCGAGCCTTGACGCTTATTATAAGGAATAACTTTTCTATTAGCAATATATTCTATCAGATCTTCATTCATTTTTTTTAGCTTTTCCTCAGTTACCAACTCTTTACGTGTACCAAGAATAAGATAACGAGAGTGCCTAGGCATGTCAGACACATAAGGAAATTTGACAAGATTCAACATTGCTTCAGAGCTAATTGTTGATTGAATAATGCCACGATTAGAATACTCTAGCTTCGTCTCAATAGGAAACGTATTTTGACTAATACGATATTGAAATTTGCACTTTTCATCTAGATCTTTGGTAAGATCAATGGTGATGATATTCAGTGCAGCTGCTCTGGTAAAAAGAGGTAGCAACTCTCGATATGTTGGTTGACCACCGGAATCAATAAAATAAACCCAATTTGTGCTTAACTTTTTAGACTTTCCAGTTATAAAAGCATGTAAAATTCTTTTAACTACTTCTGTATTGCTTGGTAACTTTTTATTTGGTTTCTTTTTGGTTAATTTGTTCTCTAGATCTGTTGTTGTATTTTCAATTGGTTTCTTGTTTGGTTTATTCTCATGTGGCTTAATCCTGTCTGATTTATTCTCTGTTGGTTCATTTGCAGGCAATTCATTGTTGTTAGGCTGATTTACTACTGGCACTTTCACAGATGGTTCATCTGATTGAGCTTCAAGTACGTCATCTGGTGCTTTATCAACTTGTGTAGATGCTAGCTGGCTAACTAAATCTTCCAATTCAACCCTCTCCCACTTTTTATTTTTATCATCAATGGATATTCTTGTTGCTTGAACAGCAGCACAGGCTATTGGTGTACTATCAGTGAGTTTGTCACGAGGTGCAGGTGGTGGCTCATTAAGTAGGAGATGTTGCGAGCATGTTTTACCAGCTCCAGGTGCACCATGCATATTGATACGAGTGACTTTTAGCTCAACTTCACCTTCTTCGAGCCATTTTTCTATTCCTAAAAATGACATAAATTAATCACATAATTTTACATAGTTAAGGCACAGATTATTTCAATATGTTAAAAGTTAAAGAGCAAGAATAACATATTGCACTGTTATAAAAACTGATTCTTACTTTCTCTGTCAATCTCATCAGCTTCAGTGCCTCTAGTACCTGTATCTATATACACAAGTGATAAAAAGATAATGTAAATAAAAATATACTACATACATATAGTTATTAATTTATTTTGTGACCTCATATTTTCATTGTTTATAAATTTT